CGCTATGCAAACAACTCCAATTACAAAAACGACACCATGATCCGTAAGGAAGTCTTCCTCACCCCCGCCGTTCTCAAAGAATGCCGCCGCATCATTGCGGAGAGCGAGGTCCCTTTTCTCTTTCTTCTTTGCTTTTCACTTTCCTTAATTGTGTACTCGTTTTTATTCAATTTCGCTAGGGTTTCAATGTTCGTTTTCTGTTCTTGTGGGATTTGGGTTAATATTTGAGAAAAGGGAAAAAAAATTAGTTATTTTTTGTTTGTCCTCTTAATAAGGGAATGGGGAATTTGGAACTCGAATCTTGAATTCTATTTCTTCTGCGCAGATAAAGCCCCAAGATTCAACCTTTGAAGTGATGTTGTTTTAAATCCATTCTTCTTTGTGTATCTTTAGGGTTCTGTTTGGTTAATGCTAATGGGATTCACTTGGTAAACTGTTTGATGACTTTTGCTATGTTAGATTTTACGTTTCCAATTGACTCAAGTTGAGCTCTAGTTCCATTTCCTTTGTCTTCTTTGGTTTTTCTCTACATTTTTAGATAGCATTCTACGCTAATTATTCTTCTATCCTCAAATTAAATGTAGTATTTAGCTTGATAATGGTTGATTCTGTGGTAGTATTAATAAAAGGTTCCATCTTTTCTAATGTTTATTTTGTTTCTTTTTCTTTTGCTTAACATAAGATGTTTTTCTTTTATTTGGTTCACGTTGTAGTTCTTATGATTGGGTCAGTCTCTGATTGTGTTAAAAATATTCATTTTGTGTAGATCATGAAGGAAGATGATAACAACTGGCCTGAACCTGACCGTGTTGGGCGGCAGGAGCTGGAGATTGTTATGGGGAATGAGCATATCTCCTTCACTACTTCAAAGATTGGATCACTTGTTGATGTTCAGAGCAGCAAGGATCCTGAAGGGCTTCGCATATTCTACTATCTTGTCCAGGTTAGCATCTGCTTCGAATTATTGGTTCCCTAGTTATATATAATTAGTAGGGTTATCAGTAGGTTGTTTTGAGTCTATTCCTTGGAACAGTATTGATGGAGAATGTGACTTACAACCTCTCTTAACTATATGCAGCTCACCAACCCCTTCTTAAAGATGTTATGGCTAACTTAATTTTCATCTTAACAACTTCTATATATCAATGCTTGAGATTTCTAGTTCCCAGACAATAATAGAACATTGCATTGAAGGATCTACTAGGCAGGCTAGAAGTCCAATTTCAAACTGTTTTAAAAGCAAAATGTACCTATATGTGAATTGACAATTTGATATAGGATGTTGGAACCCCATAGGGAAATGCAGCCAGACTTACTTCAGGAAAGTCAAGAAGGCAGGGGTCTTGTAAATGTAAATTTGATACTTTTTGTATGCTTTGTTCTGCTACTTTCGTTTCTAAAGGATCCCTCCCAATTCTCTGTTGTTCTTTCTTTTGCCTTTTTCAAACACAACCATGAAAGCTGGTCTTATACATCTAGTAACGTGAACCATGTCACCTCCTGCTAGTTTGCAAGTTAATTGATTTAATTGCCTTGTATATGCTCTTAACAGTTATCCCAATTTTGGTGGTTGCAGGACTTGAAGTGCTTCGTATTCTCCTTAATCTCTCTCCACTTCAAGATCAAGCCTATCTAGAGGATGATAAAATCTGCTATATATTGATGTTCTAATGGTGTAACTGATTTTGTCATATGGCTTCTTGGGTTTGTAGGATTGTTAAGGATTCTTTCTCCGTCCCTTTATGGCACTTTCATTGATCTGGATGTGTACTATTTGAGTGGTTACATGGATTTTGGGAGCATCAATTGTGTTAAATTGATGATATGAGAGCTCTGGAGATTTTCTAGCATGTTTCTTGCTCTTTGGTTGTTAAGGTGTTTTGCCATGTAGGAACATTTGAAACATTCTGAGCTAAGCTTCCATGAGATGTTGGCCCTTAATACTGCACACATGTCAGATTACTCATGTCCAATGTTGACCCTTAAAACATGCTTACTTATCAAACTAGAGAGCTCTGATTTTAGGCTTCAATGTAGGATATGGATACCTGAATAAGCTTGCTCAAATTCATCTGCTCTCGAAGGACGTATGGAATCTGAAATTAATGATGGCTTTTCCATTGATTATCTAATTTTCTTTTTTTATATTGGTTGCACAATAAGAGGTAATTATATTTCATTTCTTATTTCATCTTACTCACATGTCATGTGACTTAAATTTAAAATCTTTTACTTTCAACGAAAAAAAATGATCACTGAATTATTTAGGTCGTTGGTGATTATTTAACCTCATTCAAGCAATGAAAAGAGGCATATATATTATATTCCAAATATCTGAATTTTGACCACCATTGGTCCATTTATAGGTTCTCCTCGTCTCAAAGTCATTTAAACTTTAGCTTGATTCGACAGTGTTTAACCTGTAATTGTAGTTGTAAAATCTTTGATTTTTTAACATTTTAAAAATATATAAAATGTATTGAATATATATTTTAATTAGCATTTTATATATTTTTAAAATAATAAAATAAACATAAAAACAAAAAAATTAAAAGACTAAGAAGTATCCTCAAACAAAGCTTTTATAAAATAGAAACTGTTTTTCTTAGAACGTACTACATTGAGATTAGTCTCCTCCTCTCTGTTGTTTTTTTAACCGTCGTTGTTGTTGTGTATCTTCTCTTTTTTTTTTTTAATAAAAAAGAATAAACTAAAAATTCAAATGTAATGTTCTTGATTTTAAATTTGCATTTTAGTTGTCATTCAAATTCCATTATGGGTGTGTTTGGTTAGAAAGGGATTTTATTAAAAATATAGTTGGAAAAGAATTATATAAAAAAATTAAAAAGAATTATATGAAAAGTTAAAAAATTTTATACGAAAAATTTAAAAATTTTATAATAAAATTTTGTTGAAATTTTCTTGAGCTATTAATTTTTTAATTTGACTAATTTATACTCTTAGAACATAGATTAAAAAAGTAAAAAATACATATTTTTATAATAGAATTATATAAAAAAATTAAAAAGAATTATATGAAAAGTTAAAAAATTTTATACGAAAAATTAAAAAATTTTATAATAAAATTTTGTTGAAATTTTCTTGAGCTATTAATTTTTGAATTTGTCTAATTTATACTCTTAAAACATAGATTAAAAAAGTAAATTTGCATTTTAGTTGTCATTCAAATTCCATTATGGGTGTGTTTGGTTAGAAAGGGATTTTATTGAAAATATAGTTGGAAAAGAATTATATA